ATTATCATCAGGAGATGTTCCCAATACACGACGGGGATGTTATATGGGACGTTATAGAAGGCTGATTTGATCTCGATTGATATACACCATTGAAAACCCATAAATCCTACCTCCAAAATAAAGGTTTTTATTTTGTTATTTCTATGCTTCCAAAACCATTTGATACACATTTAGATATTAATTTATGTATAATATTGAGCCAATTATCAGAAAACATTTATTTTTCTTTTTTTCTTCATTTTATTAAGTTGACGTATGAATTTATGTCTGGGGTGATCGGAAGGAATGCTTGCATCCTTCATGGAATGGAAGAAGATAGACTCAGATGTTTAGAGGTTTCCTTCATGGAATAAGTGAATCTTATTAGCGTTCATTTGGTAAAGGGAATGAGTGAAATTGAGCTCTTTGCACGTAAGGTCGGGATAACTTTGAACCCAACCTTTGGGTTGGGTTGATGATCGGGTTAGGGGTAGGGTTGACAAAAGTCAACCCACATTTACTTTGGATTAGGTTAGGGTGGACCACTTTGGACAGTCCAATCCAACCTGAACCTAACTCTATCATGGTTATTGGTCGTGTGAATTATATTCCCATTCCATATCATCATCATATTCATTTTGTCTTTAACTCATAAGCCCTAAGCCTAATGACCAACTTGTCTTTATTGATTTGATTTTCAAAGAGGGAATCTATCATTTTTCATAATAATCTCTAATCATTGGAAACATTCATCTTTTTCACTTTGTACCAATAAAAAATAATAAATACAATAGAAACATTAAACAAGCAAATACTGATATAGAATTTGTGTGATTTTAAAAGGACAGGAGAAGGGTCAGGTTGGGCCCAATCCATATCCTGGGTTAGGGTTGAGAGATTTTAGATTGGTTTAGGATTAGGGTTGATTAGGTCTGGTTGAAAACTAGATTGGAGTTTTAGAACCCGGGGTTGCACTAGGGTTGATCTCAACCTGGCGTAACTTGGCTCTACTTGCACCCCTATTGGTAAGGGTGCAACTTGGCCTGGCCAAACCCAACCTCGACTGACCAGCCCGATTCTGGCCAGACATTGGGTTGGGACTTGGGATTTTCTTAAATTGGGTTGGAAAGTAAAAATCATGTTGAAGTGTGTTTTATGTGTGTATAGCAAGGTTCAAAGTATCAACACGTATCGGCCTGTATTAGGCAATACATATCATTTTGGGAGTTCTCCGATACGCCCCTACAGAGGATATATCGGGGTTCTGACCGATTCAGGGGATGGAGGAGCCTTAAACCGACTCCCTAAACCAGTTTTGAGAAAAATATAAAATAAAAGTAAAAAAAAGATACCGATATGGCATGATACACCCCTACTGGTGTATCGATATTTTGAACCTTTGTGCATAGCATTAGCTTTAATGAAACCCAAAAAGACAATCCAACCTGAACATGAAAATCGGGTTACTCAAGTTTGGTTAGGATTACATATTCTGGGATCAGGTTTGGCTCATCAAGTTGTAGTTCTGGCTGGGTCTGGTTAGTGTTGAGGTTCCCCTCCTTATCCCCCTTATATTGGGCTTGGGTTGATCTCAAGCCAACCCAACTCGGCCGAAGTTTCTCATCAGGTTGCTTTATGGCAGGCCATGAAAGGTACCAACTCCACTGAATATAGATCCTATCTAGGTCTGCCTGGATTGTTGTTGAAGAGAAGTTATTTTTCAATTGCTTGAGTTCCAAGAATTATTATTTTCTTGGTTTTTCTATATGGAGTGTTTAACAGGACGGGTACAGTATCTTTATGGTACATTTCCACATGGAAAATCAAGTGCAAATGAATTGGAATATCTATGAATTAAAAGTTCATTATTTGGGCGGCCAACTCAGCGGTGGTTCAGTCCTAGAAGAAATGCTGATTTGAGTCCTACTACCACTGATTTTGAATGAGTTATTAGTGTGCTGCTGTGTTATTCCCAGAAAAGAAAAAAGAATTTATGGTCCCTATGAGCATGGGTTTTAAAATCGACTGGAGACCGAATCAGTCAGGGGGTCAGGTTACCGGGTCGAATGGTTGGCCCGTTCAAACAAAAAAAAGTCAAAACCGTTTGAACAGTTAACTGCCCGGGTCAGCGGTTTGTTGATCAAAATCAATGGTATTTTGAGAAAATCCGGTTTTGAGGAAAAACGGAACCAGTCACCTGACCGGTTCCCAGTTTTTCCGGTCTGACCGTCCGGTCCGGTCCGGTTTTAAAAACCATGCCTATGGGTACGATTAAATACCAAAAAAAAGGTTCATTTTTTGGGCGATACTGCTGATACATCATAGTCGATTCGCTGGTCCAATAGTTCAAGGCATCTCTTAAACCACTCTATTTTGAAAATTGATTATCCCGATTTAGTTAGATGATCCTTGAAGGTGAATCTGATAACATTGCATCCGGTTGCACATTAAGAATATCTGTCATATGAGTCTGGATCTGCTTCTTCTCACTGAGTGCTCCTCACACCGACCTTACAGCAAGTCTTGGCCATACATCAAGAGCATCTCCCATACTTGTATTTAATATTCATGGAGAAATGTCCCCAATACATAGTGGGATGTGGCTGCGAGGTCATTGTGAGGAATACTCGGCGAGGAAAAGATCTCAATTCCTGTCATACATGTATGTTTAAATTCATTAAGAAATGTTGGTCTGGTATCCAAGGTACAAAGGACATGTTTTGGATAAGATGGGTTGGCAAAATACCAACTTAGGTAAGTAAACTGATGTATACAAACCAATACCAATTCATCTATCTATACTATACAGTGAATACTTGCCTTGCATTCTGTGCAACTCATAATATTCAAATCCAAATATCATATATCATATTATAGTGAATACTTAATTGCGCATATACATAATACATGCTCTTATACTAATTAATATATAACTTGCTCATAAAATATAAATTTGATAATACAATGTTAACTTATATTTTTATTATTTTCCATTTACTTACATGTGTGCATGCCTTTACACTAGCACTATTTAAGCGCCTTGGTTTTGATGGAGGTCATAAAAGTTATATTTGATTATTAACTTATGTTTTTGTTTTTACTTGCACATGTGCATGGCATATGCTTTACACTGTTGGTTTTAAAAGGATTAAACTCGCCTCAAGGGCAAGGCGTACAAAAGTTGCATTTGTGCTGGAGCCTTGAGTTGTAATTTGAGGTTTTTAGGCCCTCAGCAGAGATGCATGGATGTCTCATGCCTCAAGGCCTGATGTCAAAAGAGACGTGATTTAGAAATGTTATTTTATTTTTATATTTTTAATGCATAGCATGTATAGAGAGGTTATTTTGATCAATATCAACTAAGTGATACCAAATGACAATAAAGAATACATGTCTAATGTTCGAATGTTTGTTCAATTTGTTTGATGGTTATAGTGATTTATCTATCTACAATTATACATAGTTTGTTTGTTATGTCTCCATGTGTATAAATTTGTAATACCAAATTTCTCTATTTTGGTTTCAAATTTTCTTTTAATTAGAAATTGTAATGCATCTTATGTTTTTTAGTATTAATAATTTTATATTTTTTTAATTTTTATTTGTCAATATTCATAGTATTTTAATTTTTCTTTGAGATGTATCATATTTTGATTGAGTTCATATGTTTATTTAATTTGTACTAGTAAATGTGTATGGGCTTTAGACGTGGCATATCTATATCTATAGTAAATGTGTATGTGCTTTAGATATAAATGTGCATCATTATCATCCATGCCTTATCCCAACTATATGGGATCGGCTACACGAATCCTATGTTGCTAATCTGTTCTATTTAAAGACATCCATTGTTAAATTTTAGTGCTTAAATCCATTCTTACTACTACCCGTTTCTTTTGGTCTATCCCAAACTTTTTTAGTCCTTTCAATGTGTAACAAATCATTTATTTTAATTGGCGTAGTTGGTCTTCTATGCATGTGCGCAAACCATCTTAGTATACTCTCTCTCCTTTTATCATCTATTGGATCTACTCCTAAGTTGCAATGGATAATTTCATTCATAATCTTGTCATTTCTAGTTTTTCCATTCATTCATCTTAGTATTTTCATTTTTGTTACATTTATATTTTGAACATGTTGTGTATTGACTATCCAACACTCTATTCCATACAACATAGCTACCCTTGCAACTGTTTTATAGATTTTTTTTTTTTTTTTTCAATTTAAGTGGTATTCACCCTTCCATTCATTCACCCTTCCATTTCTAGTTTTTCCATTCATTCATCTTAGTATTCTCATTTTTGTTACATTTATTTTTTGAACATGTTGTTTATTGACTATCCAACACTCTATTCCATACAACATAGCTACCTTGCAACTGTTTTATAGATTTTTTTTGTTTTTTTAATTTAAGTGGTATTCACCTATCACATAAAAGTCCAAATGCACCCTTCCATTTTGCTCATCTTGCTCTAATTCTTTTGGTGACATCCTCCTCACTTTTTTCCCTTATTATGAATAATTGAACAATAGTACCAAAAATGATCATATTGCATTATTTTTTGGTCTCCAATCTTAAGTATATCTTAATTTACATTCCTATTATTGCTAAATTTAATTGTTATATACTTTGTTTTGGTTCTACTTATTTTAAAATTTCTTGTTTCTAAGAAATTTGTCCATAAGTTTAATTTTGAATTTAATTCTTTATTAGTTTCATCAATTAAAACAATATCACCCAGAAACAACATGCACCATAGAACTTCCTCTTGAATATGTTTAGCCAACTCATCTAAGATCAATGCAAATAGATAAGAGCAAAGTGTTGAACCTTGGTGAAGATCTTAGTAAATTTTGTTCTAACACATATATAGATATGCATATGCATTAAAATCATTTACAGTTTACATTTCTTGTAAGTTTTGTTCATTTTGCAATGTTGTGCTATTCAAGTTTCTCTTTACACTTTTTCTTGAAATTTTTGTTTACTCATTTTCTCTTTCTCCACCAGCTGCTGGTGTTTGTTCAAGCGAAGATCAGACTGTCAATTTGAAGTGCATTATAAGCTTTCATCTTTTTAAGTCAATTTCCTTATTGTTATAAAAAAAAAAAAGAAATGAAGGAAGAACCACGGACGGAAATGGTGTTAGAAGGAACCAAAAATGGCATGGTTGTCAGTCAAGCCAGTTTTGGTGGATTTGACAAAAATGTCACCGCATTAGAGCTCACAGATTTCTTAGAGCAAGAAATTGGAGGTATATGGCGATGTAGATTGAAGACTTCCTGGACTCCACCAGACTCTTACCCTGATTTCGATGTCACAAACATGAAAGAGATCCAGAAAACAGATGACTATGAAAAGGTGAAGCCTCATGCTTTTGTGCACTTCATATCTCCCGAGGCAGCAACTGCAGCGTTAAAGGCTGCTGGACGCTGTGAGCTTGTCATGAATCACCGCCCTCTGAAGGTGAACTTAGAACCTGAGTCCCCATTCCGAATTAACCAGATGAGGAGAGCAGACCCCTTCAAGCTACCTGATTCCTGCATTGAGATTGGATCTCTTGTCGCCCAGGACGAATTCGTTGTTTGTTGGAAAGCACCTTGCGTTGATTTTGTCGTGGATCCTTTTGATCTGAGCTGCAAAATCATGTTCACAAGGGAAACTGCTTTCTCCATTAAGGACAAGCATGCAGTCATCAAATGCGACTTCAAACTGGAGTTCTTTGTGAGAGATATCAACTACATCAAACAATATACACAGTATACAGGGTCATCTTCTTTGGTTATTCTGTTGCAGCTGGCATCTTCTCCATGCATCTATTACAGAACTGCAGATGATGATATCTATGATTCTTTTCAATTTGATATGTTGGATGATGAAGATCCCTGGATAAGGACTACAGATTTCACGCCTAGCAGAGCGATAGGCAGGTGCAATTCGTATAGAATATCAGTTGCACCCCGCTTTGGTCTGAGACTAAAGAAGGTTGTGAACTATCTTAGAGAGCATAGGATACCGGACGAGTGTCTGAGAGGGCTGCTGAGAATCCGAGAGGAACCTGATTTTGGAAAGCTGATGGCAGATTCCTTCTTTAGCATTGACCATGAAGAGGGTTTAAGCTTTGAGGTAATATTCATGGTGAATGCTATCGTTCACAAAGGTATCATCAGCCAGAATCAGTTGTCAAAAGAATTCTTCGACCTACTGAGAACTGAACAGAATGAAGTGAATGTTACAGCCCTACAACATATGTATTCCTATAGGCGTCCGGTGATCAATGCATGCAAAAGTCTGAGAGATGTCCAAACATGGTTCCTTGACAACCCCAAACTTATCAAGAGCTCCAAGGAATCAGACGATAGTGTTGAGGTGAGAAGACTGGTTATAACTCCAACCAGAGCCTATTGTCTTCCACCAGAGGTGGAGCTTTCCAATAGGGTTCTTAGGAAATACAAACACGTTTCTGATAGGTTCCTAAGGGTTAGCTTCAAGGATGAACGAATGCAGCAACTCAGTTGCAAAGACCTCATCTATCATGTCTCTCCTATTGTGAAGGATATTAAATCGAAATCATTTACCCAAAAAACCACCGTTTTCAATAGGGTGAAGACTATTCTGACTAATGGGTTTTCTCTGTGTGGTCGGAAGTATTCTCTTCTGGCCTTTTCATCCAATCAGCTGAGGGACCGGTCTGCCTGGTTTTTTGCTGAAGATAAGAACACCGCAGTCATGGATGTTAAGAAGTGGATGGGGAAGTTTGCTAATAGGAATGTTGCTAAATGTGCAGCTAGGATGGGACAGTGCTTCTCCTCTACCTATGCCACAGTTGAGGTTCCACTGAAGAATGTCAACTTAGGGCTTCCAGATATTGAGAGGAATGGATATGTATTTTCGGATGGGATTGGCATGTTAACACCTGATCTTGCAATAGATGTTGCAGAGAAGCTGCAATTGACAACCAACCCTCCTTGTGCATATCAAATAAGGTATGCTGGTTGCAAGGGGGTCGTAGTTTGTTGGCCTGCTGCTGCGGGAGAGGAAGATGGCATTCGCCTCTCCCTGAGGCCAAGTATGAACAAGTTCGAGTCTGGACACACGACCCTCGAAGTCTGCTCTTGGACTCGTTTCCAACCAGGTTATCTCAACAGGCAAATTATAACTCTTCTTTCAGCACTGTCTGTCCCAGACGATGTATTCTCAAGACTGCAAGATTCTATGGTTTCTAAACTAAACCAGATGCTTGACAATGCTGATGTCGCTTTTGATGTCGTTACCTCGTTGTGTCCTGAGCAGGGAAAGACTGCAGCGATAATGTTGAGTGCCGGTTTTCAACCCCAGATGGAACCTCATCTAAAAGGAATGTTGTCCTGCATAAGAGCTGCACAGCTGAGAGACCTTCTGGAAAAATCTAAGATCTTTGTTCCTGCAGGAAGGCTGTTGATGGGGTGCTTGGATGAACTAGCAGTACTCGAGGAAGGACAGTGCTTCATCCAAGTGTCTACCCCTTCATTGGAGAATTGTTTTTCAAAGAATGGCTTTAGGTTTTCTAAGGCAAAGAAGAATGTACATGTTATCGAAGGGATTGTGGCCATAGCTAAGAATCCCTGTCTTCACCCGGGAGATGTTCGGATTCTGAAAGCTGTAGATGTGCCTGGTTTGCATCATCTTGTTGATTGTCTGGTTTTCCCTCAAAAGGGAGAGAGACCGCATACAAATGAAGCATCAGGAAGCGATCTTGATGGGGATCTCTACTTTGTTACTTGGGATGAACATCTTATACCTCCAAGCAAGCAAAGCTGGATGCCAATGGACTATTCTCCTGTGGAAGCTAGAAAGATGTCACGTGAAGTCAATCATCACGTAAGTACTTTATTAATGTAGTTTTATTGTGCTTCATGCACTTGAGCTCTCAGTTAGCTTATTCAATTCAGTAGCAGGTTTTTTTTTTTTGTCTGGAGATTTTGATTTGAACGGTTGAACCGGATAAAGATTGCGGGCAGTATTAGTGATAACCCACCTTTGGATTTTATTTATCAGTATCACAGGGAAGATAAACCTCTCCCTTTTCACACCTTTAGATTCCTGAATCAGGCTGATTTAGTTTAAGGGATGGTGATTTGGGTAGAACCTGTTTTTTGGATAAGAGGGCGAATTTGGTACATTTTCTCGTATGCTTACATCACTAGAAAAGAATTTTTCTGTTGTTTGCTCAAGTTTGGATCTGGTACCAACACAGGGTCCCAGCAGCAATTGCAGCCGTGCATTGGGAACATCTCCCCTGCCCTTCATTGCGAGATGTTCCTGATGTATGGCTGCAATGGCTGTTGGGACCGGATGTTAATACCCTGTGTTGGGACCAATTCAGACTCTATTTCTTTGTCTTTTTTTTTTTCTTTCTTTTTATACCTGACTCTGTTTCTTCATACTGGTTTATCTGAACATCAGATTTAACTATATATATTTTCATAAGCCACTAAGGTAAATTTAACTATCTGCCTAAGTCACATAATCATTGTATTAAGTAAAATGGTTTACTAGATATTCCTACAACCATTTATTGAAATTTGTGTCCAAGTTCGTCCAACTATAATTTCTCTCCAAAATAGCTTTGGTCTGCCAAGTTTTATGTGTATTAATGCAATTTAATACGCCTTTCATGGCCATCTTCAAAAGCGGGGTTTTCATGTTTTTGGTTTACATGGTTCTGGAGTTGCAATTGGAAAACAAATGAAGCTACTTCATGGCCATCTACGATGTTTGTTCAACAGGATTTGATAAAGTTTTTCATGAAAACAATGGTGAACGAGAAGCTTGGTGTCATCTGCAACGCACATGTTGTTCATGCCGACCTGAGTGAATATGGAGCCTTGGATAAGAAGTGCATCCGTCTAGCAGAGCTTGCAGCCAAAGCAGTCGACTTTCCTAAAACTGGCGAGGTGGTGACAATGCCGCAATCCCTAAAGCCTAAAATGTATCCAGATTTCATGGGAAAGGAGGACTTCTTATCATACAGGTCAAGCAAGATCCTGGGCAAACTCTATCGCAAAATTAGAGATATTGATTCTGACAACGGCATGGCAACATCTTCAGAGATGGCCTGTGTGGCTGAAGATATTTCTTACGATACAGATCTCGAAATTCTGGGATCTGCAGGCTTCGTGACAGATGCTTGGAATCAGAAGTGCTCATATGATGCACAATTCAGAGCTCTTCTGGGCCAGTACAAGGTGATCAGGGAGGAAGAGGTGGTGACTGGACACATATGGTCCATGCCAAAGTATAATAGTAACAAACAAGGCGAGCTGAAAGAGAGGCTTAAGCATGCCTATAATGTATTGAAGAAGGAATTCAGGCAAGCATTTGAGAGTATGGATGAGACATTTGCAATCCAGCTTACAGAAGATGAAAAAAACTCTGTCTATGAAAAGAAGGCATCAGCATGGTACCAGGTAACCTACCACCCTAAATGGGTCATGAAAACACTGAAATTGAGAGAGCACGAGGATGACAGCATGCCACCAATGCTTAGCTTTGCCTGGATCCCAGCTGACTACTTGGTGAGAATTAAGATCAAGCACCAGAACATGGAAAAGGTGGACATTGGCAAGCCGATAAATGCTCTTGCGAGTTACCTTGCTCGTCAGATGTGAATAGGAGGAACTGAGGCAATTCTCAGCTTCAGGCCCTTAGTCATGCTGGCATTCATTTTGGCCACAAGGCCACTCTGCCATTAGTCATTTCTTCTTTTTTCTCCCTTTTGGAACTAAAAAGACTGAAAATGTTATGATACTTAGAAACTAGAAGTGATAATATAACTTGTGAGGCTTTAAATCATAATTCTCAAATCACATTCCTTGTGCATTTCAAATTTGAATCCATATCAAATCAATACAATCACATTTCTTATGCTTCTACAATCCGTTCTTCTAAAGTTCTTGTATATCAAAAGCTTTTTCTTTCTTTTAAAACATCATACAGTCCAACAGCCACATTTAACAGAGTTAGATTTAGTTCAAATGGAAGTCTGGGTATGTTTTTTCATTCATACTTCATAAACACTTTTGGTGCAGGCAGTGCGCTTGCCTCTCGCTTTCAAGGGTGATCCTTGAAAGACGAGCTTTGCCAAAAGCAAACCCTTATTACAATGAATATTTTTTCCCCGAGTAATATCATATTCATCATATAAAAAAACCCTGAGCCCGTCCCAGCAACACACAGTGGGCAGTCAGGGATGATTTAAGTGTTCTTTTACCCTTTTCCCAAACATTTCAAACCATAGGTTCTATCTGAAATTATTTTGTTACTGGGATGTTTATAAAATTAGAAACGAGAACAATGAGACACTTAAAGCTAATTTCCAAACATGTCAAACCTTAAGTTCTATCTAAACTAGAAAGCTAATTTAGGATTCTGAAACATGTCCAACTTAAATCCTTGAAAATTCATTCTCTGCAAGTGAAGGTTTTTTTTTTTTCACTTTTCTTTGGGAAAATGAGGCTTGGGAAGAAGGGTTTAAGTTGACCTCTTGTCATCCTTGAATGGGTTACATTCAGTTCCTAAAGCTAGGAAGATTTTCCCTGTAGTGATGTCCAAAAGATATGAGGTTATGCACAACCCCCCATTGAACGGTCTACAAGACAAACATCATTTGCGAACACAGTGGAATCTATTCAAGTGAGGATCATCAGGGGAGGCAGAAAGCCTAAAAAATAGAGAAGGTACATATCCTAACAAAGTGGTTACAATGACTTATAACTACAAAACCAATAGTGCAATAAAATTTACAAAGCTTTTCCCTGAGATATGAAAGGCTAGGAAAATTAAAAAAAAAAAAAAAAAAAAGCAGGAAATAAGCCAAGGGCTTCTGAATTGTTATCTTGACCAGAACTGAGATGGTTACCTTCACCTTCAGATATCAGTAGGAGGCTTTAACCTTATAAGTCTTCTGATTCTATCTTTGTCTGTGTTCTCCAGCATCCCCTTCCGAATGCAAATAACAGAGTGGACATTAGAATAATTCCAGTGAAAATATTAATACCATAATGGAGAGCAGGGTAAAGGTGAGATAAAGCAAAGAAAAAATAGCATGGTGAACAGATTTTCATAAACTACAGATAATTTTGATAAAAGCTTTAATGATAACGACTATGAATCAATAATGCCAAGGCATCCACTACCAAATTTTAATCACTAGAAAATAAGAGAACTAAGTCAACTATTTACACTTATAATTCTGGAAAATGTAAATACACATGGATGCAGCACCATACAGGTCCGCATTGCATATTTGATCCATTTATCCAAAATGTCATTTGGTGGATGTCTTATAAAATACTACTCTTTGTCCGCATGAATTAACCAGATAAGCATCTCCAAAAACTACAACTTATGACTGGACTCTTATTTTTCCCAAGTACCTATATTGGATATGACGAGATATGCATGTTGGTATGGGATAGGTGCTGGATCTGCTAAATCTCTGTCCATTTCCTGATCCATGGATTGGACATGTATCCACTTAATTGGAGAAGCACCAAACAGAAATTATTAACTGGTATGGTTAAAAAAAATTAAGCTTAAACATATAAAATACTCAAACAAGAATGCTTTTCTAAACCTCATAATATGCAGATTTCTATGCAAAGTATAATCTGGATTTTTAATATCACGTTTCAAGTTGATTTATGTGCTTTCATTTCTTGTTGGTATTTCCTTTTTAAGAAATAAATAGAAGAATGTATCTAAACAGAATATAGCTTGCTTAAAAGATTGGAAGTTATATGTTGTTTCCATATATTGGACCAAAATGTTTGATTGATTTTAGCAGTCCCCCCAAGATTTTGAGGTCAGACAGATCCACCTTCTAGACACATACCCACAACCAAAGCCATATGACATAGAGATATAACCCATTCTGCACTGTTGAACTAGAATATATCCTTGATAGAATGAGAAACTGAACAAATGATGAAATTGGACCTATGGACTTGAAAATAATGCATATAGCCTCAACAAAACTACTATTAGGTCTGTAAAATTCAAAATTGGTATCTCATATGTAAAACATAGAATGCCACATGCAAAGAACAAAAATCTGTACCAATTATAAGTTGGTGCAAATGCTCTTGAAATGTAAACAAAAGGCCAAAGAGGACAGGGTTGAGGTAGTGGAAAATGATCTAGAGATGCTAATTTCACATAAGGCATGATTTATGTAAAACATAGAATGCCACATGCAAAGAACAAAAATCTGTACCAATTATAAGTTGGTGCAAATATAAGGCTCTTGAAATGTAAACAAAAGGCCAAAGAGGACAGGGTTGAGGTAGTGGAAAATGATCTAGAGATGCTAATTTCACATAAGGCACGACTTAGATCCCAAATAGTTGGTCTAAGGCAAGGTTCAGAATATTGATACATGGAGATACACAGGTAGGACGTATCTGCCGGTGTGGGTTCTGTTTTTTTTTTTTTTTTTTTTTTTTTTTTTAATCTGGTTCAGAGGGGCTGGTCTACCCCCTGAACCACTCGCCGACCCGAAACACCCCCTGTAGGGGCGTACCGGGAAGGCTCCAATACAATTGAACGATACGTGACGATATTTTGAACCTTGGCCTAAGGCTTTGCTGAGCATGTAAAGCATAGATTAGCCATTCTCTCAATTTGGAAATAAGAGTAACAAGGAGACTTGGAGACTGAAAATCCTTTTGAATTTGATAGTTGCTCCAATACTGAAAACAGTGCAATCAGACCTTAAAATCCAATCTTAATTCTAGCCAACACCCCTTTTTTCCCTGGATTCTTCATAGCCAACACTCCTAGTTTCCTACAGCAGATTCTTGGCTATTTCTTTTCCCATGCAGCATTAAACCTCATCTTTAATTCCTAGTTTCCTACAACATACTATTGGCTATTTCTTTTTCCATGCAGCATTAAACCTCCTTTGACTTGAAAACAGTCTAATCAAAGGATGAACCTGTTAAGTTACTGCCTAACACAGGCAAATTCAAGGTGCCTAACCTCCTGTTACAGAGAAGAAAGAGGTAGAAGAGAGGAGAACGAGAGGGAAAAATGATTTGGAGGATTCCACACCCCGAATTACAATGAGGATGCCTTTTATAGGCTTACAACTGAATCAGGTAGATCATAACTAACTCTCGAGTTGTCACTGGTGGTCACTGTTTTGACATGGTAATCCTTTCCACCTTCTGGAGTAAACTCTCATGTACCTCGGGTCATCTGGGTTCGCTATGGAGTCCATGAGCCTAACAGAACCACTTAAAGACTAGTTGACCGATTAATTACATGAGGTTCATACTGACTGCATCATGCAATAGTTGTTTAATCCCAAGATGCAGCAACCTGAAAGCTGAGACAATTAAGCATCAACTATGTGGACTAGTTTAACTAACAACTATTTGATTTATTTTAAAGTTTGTGTTTATTTCTTACTATATATGAGATACTGGCTCTATTCTTATTTGGACATGGTTTGGCTTAAATGTCTATGATGTCATATGGTAGAGAGGAAATATGAGAAACAGAAACAAAGCATAAAACAAAAGAGTAAAAGAGTAGTTCTTTAAGGTCTTATTTCAACTAATCATGTGCTCTTGAGAGAATCTGCCACAAATTAGAATCACAATAGAGAGCTTAGAAGAGCAAAGACTGTCCCTTCCCTCTCTTGGCTCATTTAATCCCCTTTCTTATATCTATAAAACAGGGATCTGCATAAAAGTTTCTTAAAAAAGTAATATGCATAAAAGTTACCCAGTACTGGTCCCACCTATCTGGGTCTTGGAAGGGGTGTACCGGATGTGAACCTAACGTTTGGCTTTTTTTTTCCACAAAATGGCTGCTCTCAAAATTCAACCGACATTCTCAAGCATGTGGTCAGTGTGAGATTTTTACCATTAGATAAAGCAATGACCAGGACCATTCATATTTGCAGTTCTCATTGAAAATTGCCCACCCCCAAACAAGAATAAACCAGGATCATTCATTTGGGTGATGGGGGAGGGCACAGTATTAGGATGCATGGCATCTCCTACTACAGTACTACCTCCAAACTTATATATGTGCTGTTTTTCAAAATTTTCCTATTTCTTTTGAGGGGGATTCCCTCCTTTCTCGGCCCCTGCCTACATGCACAAAATATATAAAAGTCCATCTATTCACTCAAACTTGGTAAAAGGACCATTACCCAATGATGGTCTAGGCTATCTATGGTCTTGGGACGAATAGACTGGATGCAGACCTAACATTTGGCTTTTTTTTTCCTTTCTTTTGTACAAAGTGGCCACTGTCAGAATCAAACCCAGATTCTCAGACATTTTTCCCATGGCTGACTAGTCAACACCGAGGCACTGATGAGTCAACACATGGGAGGCCAAAACAACTAGTCATTGCCTTGCTACATTAATACTACTTCATAGAGTTAAATTTGAAAGTACAAATAAAATAAGCAAATAAAACTACAAATAAAGGTCTAGAACTAAAGATGCTGCAAGTGGTAGAAGTTTTAAAACGGAAATAGATTGTTAGGAATCTCTTACCTTCCAAACAATTTCATCCAAACACAAGCATATCTTTCCATACTTGTCAAGAAACAGGCGCTCAGTTGGAGGCTTTCCACACACATCCTTCACGGATGAGGTTATAACAAAGATTACTTCTGCCACTTGAGAAGCAGACAACAACCATTATAAACTAAGAGAACACCAACCATTTAATTATGAACAGAATACTATTTTTCCTAGCGAGGGAAAAGCTGAAACTTTGATAGGCCCAAGCTATTCCCACCTAAATCTGCAATGTTGCCAGTATTGGAGCTTCAGATACTTACAAGCAAGTTCATCATATTCATCCTTGCCAACAACATAGATACAGACATCACCAAGCATTGTGTAAACAATGTAAACTGACCTGAGGAAGAAATAAAATGAAAGGGAGAGGCAGTTCAGCCAAGTCCAACAGATGTTAGAAACAAATCAACCAATGGTTGTGTAGAATTCTAAAATCAGCAAGCATATGCACATCATACTTGTTGGGAACATTTTCAGGTGGGAAAATCACATTAGTTAAAGCTAGCTTTCCCAACCTCACTATCAAATATCCCAACCTCTCTTTTCACAGCCCCATTTTTGCATACTTGAGAAAAAAAGTCCCATGGAAAGTTTGTAAGAACAGTAGAAGATGAGAAAGATTAACAGACCAAGGCCCTCAAATTAGGAGAGAAATAGCAGGATTGATTGTATTTGATTGAAACAAAAGCTCCTTACCAGCCAAAAACATGGATAGTATGTCAACAGGTATATTGCCACCTTTGTCTACAGAAGATAATTATTTTTTCCTTTAAATTGGCATAATAATAAAATTCAGGCCTTTTGTTGGGAAGTCTTCCTTGGAAATATAAACATCTGTGACATGCTGCAGAAAAAAAAGGCCAAATAAATGCCTTTCCCCTCACTTGCGCATCCTCTGTAAATGCAATGGTGAAACTGTTTCCCATATCTTTTTATTCTGCCCTTTTGTGCTTTGTATTTGGGAAAATCATTGTTCTTACTTTGGTTGCAGGTGGACTCCTCAGGAGGTGGTAGGCCTCTTTGGTCCAAACTTCATGAGACAACCAAAGAAACGAGGAAGATTGCTGTGAAAAATAGTTAACTTGGAAGGAAGTGGCTTTATCATCCCAAGGAAAGAGTTTTTATAGATTGGAGAACCCCCAACAACCAACTTTGTGAAGCTTAATTTTGATGGAAGTTTCTTTGGTAACCAGGTTGTGGCTGGGTTATGAGGTGTCTTCAGAGATTCAGAAGGAAAGGTGCTAGCTTTGTATTTAGGGCCTTTAAAAAATGGTGATGCACTGACAGCCGAACTATTTAAACTTCTACATGGACTAAAATTTGCCAAGCATTTTGGGTTCCTTAATTTGGAAGTGGAAGGGGACTCTTAGGTGGTCATTTCTTGGACAAGATGTAGCACCCAAATCCCTTGGATCTATAGGCATACAATTCGGGAGATTGAGAGCCTTGCAAGGGAGTTGAATGTTTCCTTTAAATGGGTGAGAAGAACAGCAAATGGGATGGTGGATACTCTAGCTAAACAAGGGGCTGTAAGGCATCAAATGTTTTGGGCAAATCTGTAAACTTGTGAACGGGAGGAAGAACCTTCCCACCCTGTTGTAATCTTCTTAATTGGGTCTAATAAAATATTCTCTTATCGATCTATATATATATATATATATATATATGTGCCCAACAATCTGAACTGAAACAACAATTTCCTAACTCTATTGGATCAGTTACATGAATTCTGTAGCCGGGAAAAAAGCCTATAAATGGAAAATGAGGCATTGAGAAATCTCCATAAAAGTTATGATCAATAGGGACTAATGTATTATAAATGCATATGCAGAATTTTAAATATAGAGATATCTATGACCTTTGAACTAGAATCTATATAATTCAATCCAAGATTCCTTTTCTTCTTTTCTTCTATTTTTTGTGCCCATGTGAAACTAGAGAGATGCAAAGAAACATGTGAACTTGTGGGTTGTCATATTAGCCAAAGATTGACAATGTGTCAGAAACATGTAGAAACAGGACTGTAAACCTCTTTTAATGCGGAACATAAAGGAGACAATATTCAAAGTTATTTTGCGAGTTATTTAAACCTCAACTTGAAATGAGAGAAAAAACTATTTCAAGTTCATCATTCAACTTGCAGATTAAATTTGAGGAGTCAAAACTTGTACATTTGGTTTTATTTTGGTCACATTAAATAGGTTAATCAATTATATCTAACAAAACCAAGATGGGCCATTCAGACATCAGTTCAGCAAGTTAAGGCAGATTTACATAATTCATAATGAGTCAGAAGATCAATTTTTAGAAGGCTTGTTAGGAGTTCTAGTCAGTTTTGAAGTCACTCCATCTAGATGTACAAGTTGGAGAATGTTTAGGAGCCTTTAGATTTAGGGTAAAAAGTTAGTATGAAGCCTAAATTATTATGGTAATGAAAATGACAGGACTGAAAATAAAATTTCCCTTTTTTAGCCTCTTTTCTTCAAGAATGATGCTCAAGAATTTTTCTTATTAGGTGTGATTCCACTAAAAACCTAATATTGAGTATGATGCTACATGAATCCTGTTCTGCCATTCCATAATGTTCAGTGACATCCATTGTAAAATTAGGGACCCTTAGGCCATTTCTCACTACTTCAACCCATGTCCTTTTTGGTCTGACCTTTGCTTTCCTACCCCCTTCAAATTGTAATAGATCACTTCTTACTGGTGCTGTAGATGGCCTTCTCTGGATGTGCCAAACCATCGTAGTCTACTTTCATTCATTTTGTCACTTATTTGAGCTACTCATAGGTTCCTTCAAACAAGTTGATTTTTTATCCCATCCTTTCTAGTTTTCCAACTCATCCATGTCAAATAAACAGATAAATATGAAGTAAATTTTCAAACTAATGATTAAATTGGAAGGATGGATATTGCATACTTGTGTGAAGCCACGAAAAGCTCTTCACTTTTGGCACCCTTGAGGTTATCTGCTCCCAACTTGACTAAGAAAGTTCGCCAGTGCAACCTCTCCTCAGCTGGAACCCCATGAAAACTGCAAATATGATATGTAAGTCATAAGTGGATGCTCCAAGTATCACTAAGAAAAATCAGATTAAGCAACAATCATTGTTGCAAGAATATTATTTCCATTCTAATCTAAACCGAATAGTTAGTTTCAGTGACTCTTAAACGAAAAGACCATGCAAATAGATGCATATTTGATGCTTTTAAGTTGAAGAGGGGGGGGGGGGGGGGATGTTATATAAAGGACTGGAATGATGAAGATGTTGAAGAATTGGTGGGGCTGCTTGAGTACCTCAAAGATATTAATCTGAAGCCCAATACTGTGGACAAAAGCTTTAATCATGTGATAGTTCACATGAAGCCTTCCCATATACTTCATTTGGTGTATTTTTGGTAGCTGAACCCTTTTTCCCAGGTACCCATTCTAGTTTAACTGTTCCATCATCAATCCCTTCACTGTATACAGATATTTTCTATACAACTTCAGCCACTGGTGTATATAGCACTGATTCTAAATGATGAAAAGCCAGTTGTCATTCTGCTGCATAAGTGCCTCTTTGATGCAATATGGTTTTTCATAGCATCACAGAACATTCCAAGCAGCGTTACAAAGCATCATCTTTGTTAGCAGCATGGGGGCCTAAAGAAGCAGCAAATACAACAGAGAGGCCCCCCTTTCCATTTCTTGGTGTATATGGAAGCTAACTAGTAAGTGGTAACTACTAGAACTTTTGAGAACAAAACAAGGTCTCATGATGCAGTTTTCACAAAGTGAGAACTCCCCACCCCACCAACTCACCCACAAAAAGTCAGGTATTTTTTCCTTTTTTTTATATTTGGGGGGAGGGGGAGCAATGGCCGATGGGACCATCTTAAGGAGGAATTTGAGAAAAATTCCTTTACCAATTTTTCTTCAGACTGGATGACATTGGAATATACTTCCATTGGTCTTTTAGGGTGTCTTCAGATTGGAGCTGAGAAAAGGTCTTATGGATATTGTAGGGATTTTGGAATTCTGTCCTTTTCACTTTCTATAGTAATATATGACATACATACAAAAACTGACTCTTATGGAAAATAAATGCATACTATTGTCTTAAAACATCCTATTCCTGCCTTATCCCATGGTAGGTTTCTTAGTCAATTCTTAGGAGAGAAGCTCGTTTTTGTAGGAGCTTTTTGGAAGATGAATGGTGGAGAAAAAATGTACAGTATTCTGCCAAGAGAATGGATTCTCTTGAAGTTTTGAGAACTAACTAAAGGGGGCAATTTTGGTGGTTTCTATGGTTTGAACAGAAACTGGTTAATGAAAGTAATAAAGGAAAACTTATGTAGTTAACAAACTTTCAAAAGAAGTATATATCAATTTGTATCAAGTGAAACAAGAAGATTGGAAAAACAAACACAGACACAGAGCATCTACAATCATGCTAAAGCCTTTTTAGAAATCAACTTTAGGGTTCAGTAAATACCAAGGGATTGCCGCAGCAAAATGGTCATAAACCCAAATGATCTACTGAAATTTGGAATAAAATCTCAAAACAAGAAGAAAGAAAGGAAGTTAACCACAGAACTTAAATGCTAGAGACTATGGGAGTTAACAAGAGCTGATTTAGCTTGGAAGGGGCACCAGGTGAAATTTCCCCATCATGGTAATGATGGTAATGAAAACATTGCCACCACACCACACCCTCGCCAACTAATAAATATCAATCCTTTAGTACAGCCTTCTATGAAGTAGTCATGCTAGCTCATAAAGACAAGTCCACCCCAAGAACCATGCCATATATCACCCCAAAAACAAGTTCAGTCTCCAAAACCAACTCAAAAAAAGACAATTAAATATATTGAGTTAGCTGAATTTTTCAATACTCCATGCCAAATAGAAAACCATAAATGGTGGAAACAGGTGGAATTTCCCCAACATGTTATCTAATCCGTATTTCTTTGTAATTTTTATCCTCCATAATTTGTTTTTGCTAATTGCCAAATCTCCACAACCACTTTCCAATATACCCTTGAAATTCACATCTTAGAACACTAATCCCTCATTCTGAAAGAAAATTGCCTAAAATCCTGCAATGGAACTATATTATATCAAGTAAATCATTTTCTACCCTCCATAAGAATAAATGGTATTTCTTTCTAACAAGAATGATATGTTCAAATCCATTTACGAAATGTATTCCACAACATCATAGATGGAGGCACCAAAGACTTTTGCTGCAATGTTTCATGGGTCAGCTGCATTAAGACCACTCTTTTGGTTTACAGTTCACGATCCTTTGAGCGAGATATCACAATCCCTACTTTACCTTACAATGAAGCAATATATTCACAAAAATTTCCAAGAACTACTAATCTGAATTCATTAGCAAGTTATTACTGATTGTCCATTTTAATTTTCATCTACAATATGGAAAATCAATTGTTCATGCTGGGCATGCTGAACCAAGTTTGCCCATACACCAAAACCTTTCCATAAATTTGATCAGCCACCCACCAGACCCAATCGGCCATAATCAAAAAGCAAGCCAAAAACAGTAGTTCTCCTTCAATATCAATAAACAATGACCTCTCTAGAGATCTACGTCATCTTCCAATTCACCATAATGAAGTGTTCGACAAAATTAACAAATTACTCATTTGCAAAACCAGCAATGCATCCAAGGCTCATCTCTCTGAAATCAATGTTTCTTATTGTCTTTTAACGGACCAAAAATAATTAAATAATACACGAAAAGAGAAAGAAGAATGTCAAAAACCATTCATAAAGGAAAAAAAAAAAAGAAAGAAAATTTATTTCTGGCTGAGCATGCATTCGAGTTCGATCAAATCTAAATAACACATATAAAGTTATTTACAAGAACACCAACCAAAAGAAAATTATATTATTAATTTCGAAAAAAACTAAGAAAAAAATAACGCTGAAATAGCGAAATCCATGAACGGAGAATGCAAGAGACGAAATCTGCTGATGAAATGATAGATCAAAGAAACGGACGGTGGACATCTTGCTTACCGTTCGATAAGGATATTGCCTTCCGAATTGGAGAAGAGAACTGCGAGCAACATTTTTGATTTCTTCTCACTCGATGTTCTCCTTCGACCCAGATCTTCACTTCCTTCCTGTCGTTCCAGGAGCTATTTTCTATTTTTCTTCCTTGGAGAATTGGAGATTTGATCTGGTTTTACATAACTACAAAAATACCCTTCACAATTTTATTGTATTACCGCAACACCCAAACTAAACTGAAACTTTAACTACTTAAGTTGGGTTGGGCTTTTCTTTTAAGCCCTTGGGCTAAGATCCAAAAGTGGAAATGCCCATTCCAATCTGGGCTCGTGGATCCAAATCACCTTGGTTAGTGGTTAGTGGTTACTGGTTACAGAGAGAAAAGTGAACTCCATCCCCATTTGCCATTTGCAGCCAATAGAAAGATGCCCAACAATTGTGTACCAAATCAAGGGTTCTCTCTCCTTTGATCTTGCAGCCAAACACACCCCAAGATACCTACTTTCTTTTTTGGTGAATTGCTGCTCTATCTGCACTGTTATAGATGGCCAATACTAATGAAGTAATGGCATTTCTACATTTCACATTGTTTACCCCATTTATCCAAGATTCATCAGATTTCACCATTGAAAGCCAAACAGCAATTAATTTTATCTACCAGTGAGCATGTACTGTAGATCATGATAGAGTTTGGACCATCAAATTTACTGGTCCCAGAATTTGATCCAGAAAGAGACCAACATCCATGTTCATATCAAAACCTAAGGCTGTGTTTGGTTTGAAGGAAAGTGTAGGGAAAGGTAGGCTTTACAAACCTTAAATACGTTTTCCTACTTTTCTCTTCCTTTCCCTATTTTTTCCTTCAAACCAAACATAGCCTAAATTTACACCCAGTTTTGTTGAGAAAATTTTGGTGGTTCTTAAATGACACGGGATTTCTTGAAAGCAAAAACTTTGCAAATATTCTGAAAGAACAGACATGCAATCGTACATTGGGCTCAGTTTGGAAGGAGTACAAATACAAATATATTGAGTGTAAAATTATGTATTTTGTATGTATTTGTATTGCATGTAGAGTTTTTGCTTGTAAGAGATTTGGACTCGCCAATGGGTTAGACTTCATTAGGATTTATGTCAACATGAATTTGACCCAAGGTTGTTAATGAACCCAACCCCACTTAAGGGTGTTCGGTAACATGATTGATTTTGTTTTTGTTTTTGTTTTCAAATACAAAAATCAAAATAGTACTCAACCCAATCCTTGAACCATACCCTTATTTTTAGTGAAGGTTATTAGGGCTGCAAGTTGGGTTTTCCTACTTAAAAAGAATTTTAACTACATCATGCTTGGATTAGGGTTTGAACACATTGAACTTGACCCAAGTTGCACCCCTAAAGGTTATATCTACAGTTTCTTCCAATTTCAGAAAACCAGACCAGGCATCGACTCGAAAAAAGGAGAAATTCATGGGTTATAGGTTCTACCAGAGTCGAACCGGGATGATGTAATATATATTATAAATTATATATTAGATTATAATATATTCAAAATATATAACTATATTCTTTTATAGCATATATTTTAGTTTAATTTTAATTTTAATTTTTCATATTAAAAATTAAGATTTAAAGCAAAAAATGACATTTTTAGCAAAAATAGTGGGGCAAGGCACCTTTTGCACATTAGAAACATGTATATCTTGAAAAGTTGCCCAAAATCAAAAAAGAAAAAAGACCACCCTAATTGGACGTTCAAACACAAAGTTATAACTTTTAGAAGTTTGCATTTTATCTGTTAAAAAATGTTTAAAAAACCAAGATCAGGTCATCGGTTTTCTAATTCAACCATCGGGGTTACCGGTTTTCGCCAATATTTTACACATTATGGTTTTAGGGTATGGTCAAACCGGCCAGGAGCCCAAGTCAGAGTTCAACCGATCCAATCAGCTGGTACGGTCAGGTTTTCAAAACACTGGTTTCTTCAATCATATCACTACTCACTATGTAACCTGTTATAAAAATCTCGCAAATATTTTATTGTAAATATAGCATAACATAGAGATGTCAACAGGTTTTGTTTCGTATGGGTTTACCTCAAGCCGAACTTGTAGAAAGGTTAGGCTCATTTATCCCAAACCCATAACCAACTCTAGGTTTTACTATGGTTGCCTTGAGCCTGATCCGATAGGGCGATGGGATCCGATCAAGGAGGTTTTACTATTTGACCTCGTTGACATCCTTCTTGAAAGCATTTTTTCTCTATGATTGGTAAAATCTACAATTTAGTCAATTGATTTCCTCTCTATGGTTGATATGAAAATAAGAAAATTTATCAGTACGTTTATGCATGCTTATATGTATATCAGTTTTCATTTATAAGGTATGTGGAGGGCCTCAAAACATTTTGTTATGTAAGGCTCAGTTTGGAGAGGAGGACTACAAATACAAATATGTATTCAAACTGAGCCTAAAGTTCATTCATTCAATCGTAGTTATCCACTATAAATTGAATCTCCTTATCTAAAGGGAAGAGAGATGGAAAAATATATTAAACAATATCATTGAAATCTACTTTGATGGTAAAGTTGGAACTCAAGCTCATGAGGAGACCAAATTATTGGGTAGATTACTGATACAGGCATTCCTAAATTTTCATTTACAATTAGGGAATTTGAACCAAAATCTGTACAAAAGTAAAAAAGAGAAGAAGAAATCCTCCAATGGAAACTCTTACCCATTAGGTTTCTTTGTATCCAACTTTTGCCCAGCCACATCTAAAATGGCTTCTAAGCATTTATTAATCTTTGAAAATGATAATTATAAAAAATTTGAAATAGAGTGATAATTCTTGTATGATGTGTACATATTCTAGAGTTCCGGTGTAATTGATTGTAATGTTTTTCTTAATATAACCTATTAAAGCATGCGTTTTTCATGTTTTTATATATTTCCAAAGCATATCCAAATCTGAACTACTTGATACAATACCCTATAAATACTTTGGTCTTTGGTCTCTCACCTTTACCACAATGATATATTAGTTGTTTCCTTCTTTGTTATTCCACTAATTAATGTGGAAGGAATTTTCCATATTGCATGACATCAAAGATGTATAATTGATGCAACTAGTTGAATTTAATTCTTATAATACAAGCTAGATTAAAATTATATATATATATATATATATATATATATATAAAGACACTATTAATTAGGTTTTTTCAGGACTATAGATCTTGTGCAAAACCTGTACTATTCTCTCTCTCTCTGTAATCACTATCATGGTTGAGTTCAAGACATAAAGAAAAAGTAAAGGGTTCGATTATGATATGAAAAAGATATAATATTGGAAAAATAATTGACCAATAAACTGGAATCATAAACGTGGTAGTGAATAAAGTATTATTTATCAAAATTCATGAATGGGTTTTGAGATTAGTCAAAACTCTTTCCATATCATATCTTTCCCGTATCATAGATTTTCCCAAAAGTAAAAGACGAAGTGTATATATATTAGCTCGTTGTGATGCATCTGGAAGGTAGGTATAATTTGTACCAACAAGCTTAGAAGAAGCACAACAATCAATTAACAAGTTGAATACAACCAGTAATGGTGCTCCTGACTGGTTAATTTGTAGAGGACCCCTACTGAGCTGATAGGCATGGCCCAACTTTCAGCTTAAGGCCCACCGAAAGAACAGTTCGCATCAATGCCAGTTCATTAGAGAAAACTTCCAAGAAGGTGGTTGAGTTTAAAAGTTATCCAAATAAAGAGTTCATTTCATGTACCGCCCTGCACATTCTCATAAAAAGAAACCTCATTAATTGTTGAGTTCAATTTATGGGATGCACTGCCCATCTGCATCAGAAATTCATCTATCAATAACCATCCACAGACCCCCTCAATCACAACTCACAAGAGATTAAAAGAGACTCGCATTTACCCAACTCTACCCCAAGATCATATGTATAGACTTTGTATTAAATAACACATAACACATCTAACCAAGACATGATAAGATGAACATATTAGCATGTGCCTTAGCTATGAAATGGCATTTTCTTTTTGTGAAAAAAGCCAAGAAATGACATGAAATTTATATTGGGGCCCCAACACGGAGAAAAATGGTTCCACCAGAACATAAACTACGGATGACAATTAAAGAGCTTCAAGCTTTCAACCATAATTATCAGTAACAAAGAGATACCTAACTCCTATAATAACTTGGATCCACATAAGAACTACTTGCTTCTCACCCAAACCCCGATAAACTATGGATGACACTTGCTACTAGCTCTAACTAATTAAAATAGTCTCTTAGAGAACATTGTCCATTGATTTTCAACCTACCAAATGGACCCTCCTTACTTTAGTTATTTAGCTTTTATGGTCTTGTTAGGAGTACACAAGACTTTGATGTACAAATAGAAATCCATCACATGGACTTTGCATGTCTTTTTTTTATCGGGTTTTGGGGTAAGGCGGGTTACGTCGATCGATAAAATTTTAGTCCACTTAGAGTAAAGTTTAATTGGGGTTAAGACAAACTCTAAATTTAGAAACCTTAGTTTAGGCAGATGTTCATAGCCGCTTGGGGTCTTGCGAGGGTTAGACTAGATACAATCCTAACTTTTCACATTCTTTTTTTTTTTCTGTTTTCTCGGACTTAAATCCACATTCTCACACTTGATTGATTGGAATTTTACCATTACACACCAAATAACAATGGCCCCATCTGAATTTTGAATTTTGAAGTATTCAGGTCTTTATATCTCTAATGTATTGGAGGTAATTGGGGTCATATATACAAGATGTTCAGTCAAAATGTCTTTAAGTTTCAATAGTAAATTAAAGCTATGTCTCATCAGATTAGAGTAATGTGAAAAACTTTAATTAAGAGAATAAGATGAGTAACTAATTACAGTTATTCATTTTATCAGGTCAATAACAATTACAGAGCCATGGGCGAGCAAATTTTATTTATATCTACCCTATTGAATCGCAGATGATGCATATATCATTGGTTAGTTCACGAAGATCAACAATTAATGTTTATTGTTTCAGCGACCACTTTACATCAGTCATGGTCATGCTAATGATGTCTAGTTCCATGATGTAGAACATAGTTGACTGTTAAGTGGTTACAACAAAATCCTTAATTTGTCCTTACTATAAATAATCGAAAAATTGCTTATCATTATTAATTAATGTATTGAGATGTCTTGTCCTAACGGATGATATAAATTAAGGCTGATTCGTTTTAATTCTTGCTTATCGAGGTACATAAGCTTTTAGGTAGGTGTGGGTCAAATGGCAAGTAAGGAGAAATATAATAATATTTATATTTATAATTATATATAGTGGATATATATATATATATATATATATATATTTGTATTAGTTAGATTTCATGCAGTTTATAGAAATTAAATCTAAATACTATATATATATATATCATATATCTAGTAATGACTTGAGATCAAATCCTGCTAGCTCTAGGGTTAAGAGGGATTATAGGCAGGGGAGATGGGTTATTTGAGACCGATCTACTCCTCACAGAATGTTCCTAATGAACTTGGCTTCAGTCAGTGCAAGGCCCATTCAAACAGCCTTTAGGGCCTTGCAATGGGAATAGCTCCCCATGAAATAAGGTGCATAGGTATGGAGATATTCCCAGTGCAAGACCGAAAAGACTGTTCGAACATGCTTTACACTGACTGAAGCTGATCTCGCTCTTAACACCCTTCAGCACATTGCAGCTGCACATTGGGATGTGCTGTGAGGTTTAGTGTGAGGAGCAGATCCAGCCCCGTAATGTAATAGAGCTGTCAGGGGATTAGTAATAGTATAAAGTTTATAATTAATAATAAATTATTTTATATTTATATAAATTCATTATATATGTTAAAAAGTAAATAGTTTTTTAAAACTTTTTTTAATTTTTTCTTCATTTTGGGCACATCAAGTCACAATAAGTTGGATTTCGATGAGATTAAGACTTAGCAGTTCCTAAATATGATCGAATTTGGATGTAGCTGGATCCTATCCGAATCTGACTTGATTACAACGCTATTGTATTTGTACAGTCCAAAAAGATAAATGGCAACATGCATCTTTGTCACATTAAATCCCCAGTCCCTACCTAGTATTCAACCACTCTAAATCATTTCTCAATGAATAACAAGGAAGATATTCCCAATACACTGCTTTAATATCCCGTGGGTAGGGATGTAGGAACAGTTAGTGAGTAACACATCCGGCCCGTATTCCCAATACACCGCTTTAATAACAAGGAAGGTACATGTTCCACGTTTTTTAACTATAAATGAATATGGTGGCTAGTAAGTTAGTTATAAATGAAGTAATATGTGTTATATTATAAGTAATATGTGTTTACAAAACTTTGTTGATCCGGGCAGTTGAACCCGGACAGTTGACCGAGTCCCTAAGATTTAGACGGTTTGATCATTTGACAATGGTTGAAGTGCTAATGAAGCCCTCTACCCGGTTAATTTACCTGGTTGTTATCTGGGTTAGTTTTTAAAACCCTAGGAGTAATTAGTGTTATTTGGTGCACTTCATTCTTCATTGATTTAATCGATCAAATGGGTTTTGTTTTGATGATAGAATTTCCTACTTATGTTGCCACATATATTCCTCATAAAATGAATCCATTTGAGTTGCAAATGGATTGGATCGAATGGGATAATGTATAGATCTGAATTTAGATTAGATAAGATTCAGATTGAACTTAGATATTAAATGGCATTAATAAATTAAAGTAAAAAAACATAAAAATGTTATATTATTAATAAAATGAATACTATTTACAGCCCTAGAATCCTCCATTTTGTGGGGCTAAATGTGGGCTTGTGTGGGGCTTTTCTGGTTTGGTTTGTCAAGTGCAATTGCACTCTGCAACTGATTTTGTGGCTTGGACTGTAAAGGGATCCAACCACACATTGATTCACGAACACTCCAATCCCAATTGGAGATCCCATAAGTAATGTCTATGCTAAGTACACTGTCAGAGAGAGAGAGAGAGAGAGAGAGTCCTAAATATACCAAGGAAGATAAACCCAAATGACAGCATAAATATTAATCTTGCTGAGACAAATATTATTGCCAGGCCAAAATCCATTAATTAATAGAAGGGCTATTAAACAAGTTCCATTTATTCTGTGCTTGTTACATATACCCAAGTGTTCTAAATTCTAATGGGCCACTAGTACTGTTACCACACGTCCAAATTTTTGACATGATCATCAACCGAGGTGGATAAAATCTATAGTATGCCTCTTAGCTTCTACACTGAGAGGACTCAATTCAAATATCTAATAACTACAGTTGTCAATGAAGCCATTAAATTGGGAGTTTGGATTTAATTAATTGGACCATTTTTACAGGCCCCGCCCTTTCCTCTTGGTAAATCCATTGTAAAATGGCTAAGGACTAGGACAATTTCTGTTCAAAAGTTCCTCTATCATCTGCAATGCAATCTTCTCCTCTTCCGGCAGTCCAACTTTGGCATCCGCCTCCACCAACTCCGGTGTCTCCGGCAATAAAGCCGGTGTGGCCTCAGGGGCCTGAGAGTTCTTCTGACAAAGCTCAACAGTCATGACCCAACTCGAGTCTGAACGCGCTCCAGCCCGCTTCTGCCAGACTCCAAAATGCGAATTCTCTGTGTCGAGCCTCAAACAAGTGAGGGATGGGGAGGGGGTTTTGCAACACCTACGTAGCTTTGCGCTAAGCGTCGATGACAGAGCCGTCGGAGACAGCCGAGAGTCCTCGCTTGTCTTCGCATCCCCAGCCGGAGTCTTGACCACCGGGAAGTTGGTCTTCGCATTGCGCCCACTCATTAACACTGCCGCCTCATCGTAGGCTCGAGCGGCCTCTTCGGCTGTCTCGAAGGTGCCCAGCCACACCCTTCTCTTCCTGAAGAACACCAACAAAGTAGAGAGACACATAAATCGAAAAGATCAACCAAAGCCAGCGCACACAAAAACCCAGTAAGAAAAACCCAAATTTTCCGATGGAAATTGGCTGGTCTATCTATTGAACTTACAGCAATGGGTGGCGAATCTCAGAGACCCATGAGCCCCAATGGCGCTGCCTGACGCCTCGGAACTTCTTAGTTTGTACCATGTTTAGGAGAAGAGAGAAAGAAGAATGTGTGTGTGAGAGAAAGAAAGAGAGAGAGAGAGAGAGACGAGTTGGCCTGCTCCACAGATCTCGAAGTACGTTACTCAACTTGCTCTTCTGACTTCTCAGACGAGAAGTTATAGAGGAATGGTGGGGGGGTCTACGTATGTGCCCCGACCAATAAACAAACGATGAGTTGTCGGTGTATGACTTTCCAGGACACTTTCAATAAAAACACATCACCTACGCCTTCCCTCATACGATTTAATTTAATTTAACTGACTACGGAAAATAAATGCCTGTATATTCATACATAACTGCATATCTACATGTACATATATTGTATATATTGCATAAGAAGGCCAAATAGACAATAGTTCTTTCACCTCAATGCTCACATAGTGATATCAAAGGGTCGGATCTGGTTCAGGAATTATCACGGGGTGTATCAGTCTCAAACCAATTATTAATAATTGGTTTTATATGATAGACTTAGAACCATTTAATTATTAATTAAGATAATTGGATTTGATCTGATTATAATTAATATCTATATAGTCACAGGAGCGGATTCGGTGGAGACAAAAACATATATACCCAACTGAATTACCTATCACGGTTGAACATGCCAATATTAACTACAGTTAGGTCCCAAATGGGTTTACAGTGAGAATTGGTGTATTTATCCGTGATAGGTATTTCAACAGGGTGTGTAAGATTTTGTATTCAGATCATCTAGACTGGATAGTGATGAAGGGTGATTTGGCCCGACCTAGTAAAAAGGGAACATGTGGACATTGACCTGATCAAGGGATAACAATTTAGCTTGACAAGTTTAGTTCGCAACAATTGAGCTCGGGTATTCAGTCACCTCGGCACAAAAGCCGCATTGGCTTAAGACTCACCTCGGAGCAAGGCCACTTCGGCGCAAGTCTCACATCGGTATTCAAGCCAGTTCGGAACTAAATGACTGAAGTACCAGTTTGGAACCAACAACTCGAATCGCCACGTAACTGACTCCCGCGTAACCAACTCCGGGATCACGATGAGGACTTATCCTAACTCTGTCGGAATCGGAAGTGGAACGAGATAAGCCTTACCTGTATACTTCTCCTTCGGAAGCAGAGCGAACTCTATCTCCTCACCCCGAATATCTCGGAGCTCTTTCATGTGCCCCACAACTATTCCAGTATAAAGGCACCAACCCCAATGGCACCAGGTACGCGTGATTTTTGCTCTTTAGCTCTCTAAGCTCTCAAATCTCTTCAGCTCGCATCAGATTACTAATTTAAGCATTGGAGCGATCTCGTCGGATTAGCCACCCCGGGTTCTCTAATCTTGTCTTGCAGATTCACCTAGCTCGTCGTCCGACTGGAAGTCAGATCATCCTCCAGCAGGGAGCAATTAGATCGCGGTACATCAGATAGTAACAACTCAAAAGTTAAAAATTAATTTTTGATAATATAACTTTAATAAACTTGATAGTAGTAAATAAAATGATAAATTGTTTATAGGTTGATGAAACAAGTGTTTTCAACCAAAATTGTCTTATGTATTACCTATCAAATTTACCCTTTTGTGAGTAGGATGATTTTATATATTATTAATTATATATTAGGTTTGGAACAACTAGAATCATTCTAGACAAAATTATTAATTGTGACGAAATTACAGAACTAGAATTGACGTAATCAGTTCAGTCAATTCAGTTCTGGTAGGTAGACTTACCCATTGACAGCCCTATGATCACATGGACCTCCCTTCATTTTTCACACTAGTAAATGTGCACACACATTGCATGTGGCAATTTTAGATAACAACAACAACAACAACAACAACAACAACAACAACAATAATAATAATAATAATAATAATAATAATAATAATAATAATAATAATAATAATTGCAATAACAATGATAAAATTAGAGATGTGTTTAGATTCCTTTTAATTTCTTCTATAATCTTTTATATTTCTATCTAATTTTAAGATTTTATTATTTAATTATGACATTTATTTTTATATAATATGATATGAATGTATAATATCATGTATGTCTCTTTATTTTCTATAAATGTTTTTTTTTGTTTTTCTATAAATTATACTATTTTTATCTATTTTTATTTTTATTATTTAATTGTCACATCATGGGTTAACCTAGACTTTTGAATTCTTGAACCATTTCCCGAATGGAAAATATTTTCCTTTTTGAGACAATTTTAAATTTGATATTCCATTTCCACAATCAATAAAAATAATTCTTATTTATCACACTTATCTTTTTTAATATGAATTAACTAACTATGAAATCATGGGTTGATCACTTGACCTAATGATCCAAATAGCTAGACCATTGACCCACCACTCAAGGAGGAAAATGGTTCATTTATAAATCAATTTTAAAATTTGTATTCCATTTCCACCATTAATAAAAATAATTTTTATTTATCATACCTATTTTTTTTATTATGAAAAATATAAAATATTGGAGATGCATGTGCCTAAAATTTCCTAATTTTTTTATTTATCTATTTTTTATTTTTTCGTACTTAATTATAACATCATGGACTTACCTAATTTATCCAAATGGGAAAACTACTTACTTGCCACTTAGAAAAACCAATTTAATTTTTAGTTGAGTTTAAAAATTTTAGGTTTTATACTATTAATACAAGTGTTCATGGATTTAATTAGTGAAACTTAATGATGATAAAAAAAATACTTTACATATAGGATTTAATGAGGAAGAATGAGACTTAACACTTAAATGTGGGACTTAATGAAGGAATAAAATGCACTAAAAAGTAATATCTGAATTACAATTTTTGCCCTCCCAATAGAGAGTGACCAAATTCAAAAAGATAGATATTTTAGTCAAAAAATTTCAAAAACCATGGGGAGCTATTCACTTAGTAGTATACATATAGATATATGATTATTTATTTTAAACTAAATTAATAAAAATGTAACAAGTTAGAATAAAACCCTCATAGATCTTAATTATTTTTTACTTTCGAACAAAATCATTTTTAAATTTCTCTCTTTCTCTCTCTCTCTAATATCTCATCTCCTCATTGAACCCCTTTTTCCTCTTAAATTTCTTTAGACCCCTTCTATCCCTCTCTAATAAAATAAGGGTATAAATTAGATAGGTGACCGGTTAAAAACCAATCCTAAACATGGTCTTTGCCTTGAACATATCAAAACCCAAAATTGTCTATCCAAACCTAAGGGATTTACTTGCTGGTATGAATAACATCAATATGATACAAAACATTACCCTATGACTCCTGTCTTACCATCTTTTCCAATTTCCAGTTCAAAGACTTGCCCTCAACTGCCATGTGTGTTCTCTAAAGATGATAAAGGACCACTTGGCCCACAGTTGATTGCAGCCCAACCCAAGAAAAAGGGATGATGTAATCTGATCCACATACATTCGTTTTCTGTGTACTCAACTCTAACATAGGTCCATTATTGTTGGTCCCCATACTCGTACAGTGAAAGTCTGGCAGTTGAGAGGGTACACTTTGTTACTTGCTTTCTTATGATAAATGTCCCTCGTTAGGACTCTTCTCTTGAGTTCACATAAATAACTATACAAACTTCTCTTGACTAGTGAGAAGTCCAAGGAATTAGAAACATGAAGGAGTTTTCTTTGCAAACCCACAAGAGATGATGCCCTTTTGAGGCACGGAAGGTTGGACTGTATTCCCACTTTGGTAGGAGTATAAATACAAATATATACTGTGCAAATATATACAAAATATAAGGTTTTGTTTTCTAAAATTTTGCATTTATACTCCTTCCAAACTGAGCCTAAGGGATGGATAAGGCGTTGTATTAAAAGCTTTGATCGATCCCATGTAATATAATGATTCCGGAGAGGTTCATTTACCTGGGTAAATAATATTTTCTTTAAATTTAATTAAATTATTTTTTTATTCGCACCAATACATAACGAAATAATATTATCTTTTTAATAATTATATTTTATGGATAAAGTGAATATTGTATAACTTTATCTGAAAAACAAAAGAATACTGGTAAATATACTTATTGGGACAAATATTTTTCAAGAAACATTTACACCAATAAACACATTTGCCCAGATAATTGATTTACCATTTAACCAAGGAGACCTTGAGATCAGTTGAACAAATACTTTCACTAAATTATGAACCCTTGAATTATTTCTTACAATCTCAATTAGGTGACCGCACCTATTCAACCAATTTGGCCAAGCCTAGCTAAATCCAATTAAATGTGAACAGAACTAGATTTTTAAGGTCAAATATAAGCCTGCTTTACCATTTATTCATTTAGATAGGATCTATAAACAGGTCTACAAAGATAAAGCTGTCAGATCTGGATGGATGGATGTGCTTAAATGAAGTGGGTCACTGCTGGTTTAATGGTTTAATTTGGAATTTGTTTTTGGTATAATGTGTTGCAGCTTTGGTCCTGTAGGGGTGAGGTGACATTTGTTGGAACTTAAACTTGTAGTTAGGAGGTTAGTAGAGTAGAAAAGAAGACACGCGTCTCATCGTCTATTGCTTTACACAACACCCCCATTCCAGGATTTAATCGTTGAATATGGTAATAGAGACAAATAATTAAGCTTATTCCTCACTTCTGGGTAGATTTCTCTATCCTTGATATAGAGTTTGATGTAGCTAACTAGATCATCAGCTGCAGATCAACCCCATTTCCATGTCCTAGGAGAGCATAAAATGCATCCTTCCCCAATCTCCAAGTTCAAAGTCCTAAATTGATGATTTTAGTTTTTGGGTGAGAATGCAAATGAAAGGAGTGCAGATTTTGTTTCAGATTTTACTTTATTTGTCTTTAGGTTTCATTTTATTTCATCTCCATGTAGGGATAAGACTTCACTGCAAACAAATGGGTCTAAGGAAAATTTAATGCATCCATGTGCATTCTATGGACTAAAGAACCAACCCTTCTTATGGACAATTCAGTTTCCTCCCATCGCGATTATCCAAAGGTTATGGTGGTTAGGGGGGTTATGGGTTTGGGGATGTGTCAAGGATCAAAATTTTGTCATGTATCATCTTGTATTCGCCGATATGTATTATATCGGAGTCTTTT